TGGCTGCTCTATTTGGGGTCATCGTCCTCAAGGCCTAGTGGGTCAGGATGTGCTCCAGTCTCTCCTCCTCCCCCGTCATCTGTTCCTGTGTGCTCTGGTCAGATATATCCTTCTCCCGAAGCTGCAGATTCAGTGCCATCCTTTGAGATACATTCTTCTCAGGGGATGGGCCTGCACAGCTTTTATAACTGGCCTCTTAATTAGAAAATTAAGGCACACAAAATTTAAATCAGTTGTCCAAAGTTTATAAATAAATAGGACTGATATTTAAACTCAATTACCTAACATATAGCATATATTATTCTAATATATATAATCTTGCCCACTATTAATAAAGATTATATTATGAATTTCCTTTAAGTTATTTCACTTATCTTCATTTAATGATATAAAAAGTATTAACATAAAACATTTCAATATATAAATATTTCAATTCCATGTGAACTTTATGTTATTTTTAGGTCTATAATAGATCTTGCAGGCTAAAAGGAGAAAGAATAATTTGATGATGATGTCTAGGCAAACCACTCCTCGAATGCTTAGAGAGGGCTTTCCAGGGCTACCACCTCCTTTAGAACTCTTGTTCTATTCCCTTGTTCTCAGCTTTCAGGCCCAGAAACAGCCTGAGCCCAAACCAGTTTTTATAAAGTTGATTTTGACTCAGAGTTGCCCCTTGTGTTGCAGAGTGGAACTGGGCTCCCTAGGGCTAGAGTGGTTTATTTTTGGAAATGGAGTGCCAGGCCTTTCTCTGGAGATACATCTGAGAGGGCTTAAATCATTCATTTGTAACACTCAAGGGCATCAAAACAGACTTTCCTATATACTAAGAAAGCATCAAGTGGAACTGGATTTTATTCATTAAAATATGGTACCCGTATGCATGCACATACAAGGAATTACCCACCCCCCACAAAAAAAAACCCAGAATTATTTTTTCAAAGCAATGTATTTATAAAACAAACAACCTTGTCACCTTGAAAGTACTCTCCATTACACTTACTACATTTGTCAAATCTGTGATTCCATACTTCGGAACATTTTTCAAACTCATCTGTTTGGATTACTGACAGCACCTCCTTCGATTTTTCCTTCACCTTTTCTGTGCCATCAAATCAATATCTTTTCATGTCCCTCTTCATTCGTGGAAATAACAAGAAGTTGCACAGAGTGAGGTCAGGTGACAAAAGTGTGTGGGGCTAGAGTGGCATGCTGTTTTTTCCCAAAAACTGGCATAATGAGATGGCTGTGAAAAGTGCATTGTCATGGTGGCAAAACCAGTCCCGTCTGCCACACAGCAGAGGCCTTCGTTGTCACACAATGTTAGGAAATATTTTCAGAAACTCTAAATCAAAAGGTTGATTAACAGTCTAACCTGGTGGAACAGACTCCAAATGCACTATACCTCTCACATTAAAAAAAAAAAAAGCATCATCTTGATCTTTGATTTCACTTGAGCTTTGCTTGGATGAGGTAATGATGGCATCTTCCACTAGTTTGAGAGATGTTTGGTTTGGGGGGGGGGTGTCATGAGAATAGCACCATGTCTCATCAGCCAGTAATGACCTTGGACAAAGTCTGGGTCACTATGTAACAATTCTTTCCAAGCATGGCATGTTTCCACAAGACACTCTTTTTCCTGGTTATTCAGATTTCGGGGCACCATTTTTGCAGTGATCATTCTCATTTCCAAACCTTTAGTTAAAATTCACCAAACCAAGCTCCAAGATCACTCAGATAACTTCCCCATCTCTTCCATGGTCAGACATCAGTCTTTAAGCACAAGCTGTGTTCAACATCACAGCAGTGTCTGTGGCATTTTTCCTAACCCAGAAACAAAATTTCACAGCTGCATTCAGTTGTCTTAAATCAGCCATCATAATAAAAGAGGTTTGAGTGAAACTGCTTTAAGGAAAAAAATTCACTGTGACTAGAGAACCTTCCCAGGTGATGCCACTGAATGCACTAATTCAGAGTGAGATGCTTGATGTTCACCCAGAGGGAAAGCTCCACCCAGCAGAACTTTTTTCCCATTTTTTTTTTCAGGTAACCCCTCATATAACATCAGAAATACATTTTCTTTATATTTTGCAACTAGAAATATAATAGCCCTCAGGTCATGGGAGAATTCTTTATAGAAAAAATAGATATGGGAAGTTAAATCAACATCAGAGAGTATGTCACATAGTTCACATTTTAAAGAGCATCAGGACATCCAACAGGGCCATCCCCTGATGGTGGGGCAGTTGGAGTCGGGGGGGCACTGTACATAGTAGGGGAGAGGGAAAGGAGTGCTGGCCTTGGAGGCTGATATGAATCACAGTCCACATACACCCTAGCTCTCACTGACTATATGTTTTTGATGACCATCCCCAATGGTGAAAATAGGATTTGGTAGATATTTTCCTTCTTTACTACTGGTAAGCTATATGGACTAAAGTCAAACTTGGTTCCCTCTCACCCTCCAAGCTCAACTTGGAAACACCATTCACATCTCATTGGGTGATTTTAGGTCCAATCACTCAGCTACAATGTACCTAATAGCTTATATTACAATCAGGGTAATCATTCTATCACATTTACTGTCCAGAGACTGAACAGAAAATGAAATCAAGTCCACATTAACTAACTGTATCTTAGGAACTTTTTAAGTGTTGGTTCTTCTCTATAAGACTTGGAATTGAAAGGACAAGTGTATGTTCAGTAGGTCCAGACCATTTACAGAACTGGGTCTTCTGTGTCAAAATAATGCCAATACACTTTGGCTCTGGAGGTTTCCAAGAGTTCCATGAAAATCTATCCCTAAAGTTTGAGTGGGCATTGCTACGACCAATGATGAGCAGAACACATCTTCTGATTCTGTTCAGAAAGGCAGACATCTGGAAGTCAAGAAGGCAACCACACAGCCGTTTTCAGGGGACAGCTGTATCACTGCAGAACCAGCCTCCCACATTTGAGATGTATACCTCCCAAATTAAGGGAAGCAGCCTCTTAGGGTAGCCCATCATACAAAAGCCTTATATGACTCTTTGCTTAGTAAAACATAATCCCCCTGGTCCCTAGGAGCCATCATCTTTAAATTACTATGCCATGGCTTAGTTTTTATTTATATAAAAAGAAGATAATTTATTAAATAAGGTATTGTGTCTCTAGAGGGAAAACTACTATTTTATTTGTAAAATAAAAATAGTACATGCATATTAGAGAGAATTTGGAATATGGCAGAAAGAAAACAACTGAAATCCCTTATCGTTCCACTAGAGAGAAAGAGAAGTGCCTTATTGTACATATTTTACTTCAGAATATATATTTAACTTATGTGTGTATGTGTGTGGTGTGTGTGTGTGTGTGTGTGTGTGGGTATGTGTGTATGGGCATAGTTGGGTGTGCACACACCATAAGTGATTTAGATAACTTGAAAAAGTTTGTGGAAAATGGAATTACCTTTTAAAATAATTCCATTTTCCAATGAACTTTTTTATATTCCCTCATATGTATGTACATAAAGTAAACTAAATCCATCACTTTCAGACTCATAGTGACCCTACATATGGATTTCAAGATTGTAAATCTTTAAAAGACCAGACAGACTCATCTAAAATAGCTAGTCAGTTTGATTTACTGACCTTGCAGCTAGGAACCCAACATTTTGCTTAGTTTTTCCCACTTAAAACTAGAAATTTAAATCCACCACTAAATGGTCTTACATAAAATTAGTAGCTGGTCTTACATAAAGTTATTTTAGTAGCTGGCTTGTATATGGTACAGTAATGTATCTAATCTATTGTTGGCTACTATTAGTTTGAGTTTTCATTGGCAATAATCCTTATTTCCTTAAGGAAATTTCTTAATAGGTTGCTAAATATATCAAAAATTTTAATACCTTCACAACATTGCTAAAGCATACCCTACAAGCATATTTAACAATTTACATTATGCACCAACAGCATAGTCACTATTCTTCCTTTCTATCCAAGAAACATACATGTATAATCACTTATCACAAAAGAGAAATGCCTATAGGTACATTCAATATGAAGGAAAACAGAGCAAGAAATCTACAGCTCATTTCTTCCTATTGTCATTAATTTCCTCGCCTTTGATCCGATGTCAGGGTATACTTGTGACAACAGAACAGACATGACATCAAGAATTGCTTTTCTTTCACTTCTCAAGTACTACAGGGCTCTACATTCATCAGTTTCTTTAAATGGAAACCTGCATGTGGGCCATTTGGGCCACAAAAGATCATGGAAGAGCAGGGTGGGACCTACAACAGCCACGCTATGGCAAGTTTCATCTTTCTCCCAGGGAGTGGGTTTGAACTGATGACCTTGTGATTAGCAGTTGAACACTTAACCTACTATTACAACCAGGGAGCTTCTCACTATTCTCACATGAAAACAATTCATATTTTTAAGTAGAAGGAGCTGCATCAAAACATGAAATGGAAATAAAAGACATACCTGATAAAAATTAGGCCAAAAAGTACTAATTGCGAGTTCTGCCCTGTTCCATGTGCGCGTTGGGTCTCCAGATATATTCCAGATGGGATTTCCCAAAGGTCCATTGTTGACCTTTACATAGACATTAAGTAATCCAGGAGCAGAATTGCTTTTGCTGGATACAAAATAGTGAAAATCAATGCAGTGGGTGTCATTTTCTTTAAGCTGAGGTAAGAGGAGGTGTGCTTTCTGCCCCTCTGGTCTACCAGATGTGTTCACCAACATGAAAGAGCCTGTGGAAACAAATAAAAATATAATCACAGTGGTAAACACCACTTTGTCATGTGTGAAAATATGCCATCATTCCCATGGGTTAATATTACAGTTGCACATTAGTACTTAAGCCTTAAAAGTCTCATTTCCTTCCAATTTATCTCATTCACTTGTCCTCCACCCACCACCCCTAATGCTCAAAAGAGCTGGAGATTGGAAATTTTTCCTGATATTATTATAGTCTTCTAAGTAACAGAAATAGAAGTGTTACAGACCTGCACTGTCAAATCTGGTAACACTAAAACCAGTTGCCATTGAATTGATTATCAAGGTGGTACCATCTGTCAGAGTAAAATTATGCACCATAGGGTTTTCCATATGCAATTTGTTGGAAATAGATCACTAGCCTTTTCTTCTGGATGCACTTGAACCTTCATCTTTCGATTTGCACTGGAATACTTACTGTTTGTATCATATAGGAACTCTTAAGTAACAGAAATACACCACAGGATTTGTAAACTTGTACTGTTCAATCACATAGCCACTGGCTGCAGACACATTTACTTGCATTTCCTCAACAGTTCTATTAGGCAGTGCTATCACATAATATCTCCACCGCTTATATGTATTTATCATATGTATTTATAACATCCTGGTCTAACCTAAAAAGGGTGAAAATATTCTTCTGGTTTGAAGCATTAGAGAAAACTTTATTGGTCCTAAGATGCCCTTGTGCTCAATGCATTACAGTCCTCTTCTGCTCATCCCCGTCACTGGAACAGCTGACTTATTGTTGACAATATGACTACCCAAGTGAACTAGAAATACCAATTTCAAATGGGCAGGCAGACTATTAACCCAAGCTGAGTATTTCTTTTCAGACTTAACTCATTATGAACTGTGACTTGAAAGGCGTATCTGTGCTGTCTTTATTAAATGCTATTTTACCTCTCTTGAATTTTAATATCCATTGTAATGGCTAATCAAATTACTTTAAGAAACATAATTCATGATTAAAGGGTTCCATCAAGGAAGTTAGCAAATTGCAATGTCAATGAGAAGTGCTCAGGGTAGTTGTTTTTCACATCATTACAAAGCTTTTTTAGGGTTGCTAATAAATGCCAAAAGGGACATACTGCTCCCCTGTTAAGCCTCAACTTGGAGGCATTTAGTTCAAGCTCCAAGGGTCAACAAATCCAGCTTCCTGAATGAAGTGCCCAGAGGCAGCCCACTCTAGTAACCCACAACCCGAAGGCACTCTGCTCCAGTTCCAGGGGTCACTAAGCTCAACTTCTCCAATTAAATGCTACAGGCACCCTACTTTGCAAGCCAGCCCCTTGGACAAAAGCACTCAGCTTCACTTGTTCCATGAGGTGGGAAGTCCATGCTTTGGTTTGGGTTCTGTTGTTACTCCTCGACATTAGAGTTGTCTTCTATATCCAGCAGGTTCATTGCTCAGGAATTCTGTATCCAGAAGACCCATTTTATTTCTGCCCCTTGATGGTAATGGAATTCCCCCAACACCCATGCTTCTCAGAGGGCTCATTTTACATGCAGCAGGGTGGCATGGCAAGAAATCCTCTTTAAAAATTATTTACAGATATCTTTCCCAACTTCTTACCAGAGCCATGGAGCAAAGGTCCTTTGGTGGACTTTGGATAGAAGATCCACATTAAATAATTCACTTCAGTGGGCACATGTTTTCTTTGAGTGTACATATTTTAGTATACACCCTCAAATATATCTATGCATACATACAAAATACTTTAAAAAGCTTGGAATATTTATCTCATCTACACGCCATGATTTCTAAAGCAATATAATATAAGTATATCACTGTTTCTGGAGAATTACTATACGAATCAAATTAGGGAATTTCAGATACCCTTCACAAATGAATATACTCAGGAGAAGAACATATCTGACGAGAGCACACAGGAGCAGATGAAGGGGGAGGAGGAGAGAGTGGAACACATCCTGGCCCACCAGGCCTTGAGGATGATGATTCCAATTAGAGCAGCCAGTCCACAGAGAGGACCACATGGCCAGCCCCACAATGAGACATGACACCTCTCACTGACCCATGGCCCTGCAGGAGACAGCACCAGAGACACAGTGTGTAAATTGCACCCAATCTGATCTTGCCACATTGAGGCAAAGCACCGGGGCTGTGCAGCGGAACAGCAAGGGTATGGAGCAGCAAGGTCCCCAAGGAATGCTGAAGGTGGACTTTGAGGCCAGGGTGTGGTGCTCCAACAGACTAGACTGGAAAACACTCCTAAAGGCCAACAAATGATCCCTGAACTAACTACAAGCCTTTCTTTCTTGTTGTATTGTGTTTTGTTTTTTTCTCAGTGGTTTGTTGTTGTTGTTTTGTTTTATATTATTGCTTGGTTTTGCTCTGTCTTATTTTTGTGCATGTTATTATCTCTGCAGGTCTGTCTAAATAAAATAGGCTGGATGAACAATCTGGAGGAGAAAA